CCAGAAGGCAGGTGTTCCTCGGTGTCTGGGGCTCTGTGGAAGCAGGAGACTAGGAAATGCATGGGGAGGCCCAGCAGTATTAACCGCTAGCTCCTTGGAGCCGTGTCCTGGAGCCACCAACTTGTCAGCCTTGTGGACTGGGTGACTTTCAACTGTGGGGAAGACCACGGGGGAGACTGGAAAGCGAAGGGAACCCCCTTTCCCTCCTAGCAAGGTCCTGCACCAGCCAGAAACTTCCCTGCTTAGTGTTGTGTGGCACGTCGAGAACAAAATTGGTGCCCAGGCATCATGGCTCACACCTGAAACTCTAGCAGTTCCTCAGGAGGGTTGACATTCAAAGCCTAACCTTGGCAAAAAGTTGGAAAGACGCTATCTCAACCAATAGCAGGATACACTGGCATATGCCTGCCATCCCAGCTGCAGTGGAACACTTGCCTAGAAGAATCCCAGCCCATTTACATCCAGGCCCAAAAACCAAACCTGGTCTCAAAAATAAGCACAGGAGCCGGACGCCAGTGGCTCACGCCTGTAATCCTAGCTACTCAGCAGGCTAAGATCTGAGGATCACGGTTCAAAGCCAGCCCGGGCAGGAAATCCATGAGACTCTTATCTCCAATAAACCACTAGAAAACTGGAAGTGGCGCTGTGGCTCAAGGGGTAGAGTGCTTGCCTTGAGCTGAAGAGCACAGGGACAGTGCCCAAACCCAGAGTTCAAGCCCCATGACCATCCAAAAAAAAAAAAAAAAAACACAGGACCGGACACGGGTGGCTCATGCTTGTAATCCTAGCTATTCAGGAGGCTGAGACCTGAGGATCTCGGTTCAAAGCTAGCCTGGGCAGAAAAGTCTATGAGACTCTTTATCTCCAATTAATCACCAGAAAATGGGAAGTGGCGGTGTGGTTCAAGTGGTAGAGCATCCGCCTTGAGCCAAAGAGCAGAGGAATAGCGCCCAGGCCCAGAGTTCAAGTCCCACGACCGACAAAACAAAAATAAGCACAGCAAAAAGTGCTGAGGGCACAGCTTAAGTAGTAGAGCATCTATCTAGCTCAGTTCCAGCCCAGTACAGCCAAGAACAACAGAGAGAAAGGGGGTGGGGGTGGGGGGGCAGAGTCTGGTACTATGTCCTCAAAATGAAGCTCCTTCTCCAGGTAGGTAGCCTGCCTTCCCTGGGGCTCCTCCAGTATGCACTGGCAGGTGACTGGTAGGTGCTATCTTCCTCAGGCTGTGGTTCATGGAAGCTCAGAGCTGAGTGATCTTTATGCCCCATACCTGGAAGTCTGTCTCCTGTCACCTTTACATGGACTGTGGGCCTGTCATCTGGTGGCTTTGTGTGGGGGCTTTGCTGTTTTGTCTGCCTGGCCTGAGGGTTTGGTTTTAATTAGAAGCGACTGAGGTCCATGATGAAAGCTGAATGAGTATTGGTGGGGCAAGGAGAAATCTGCGCTTAGTGGGGACTGTGGCGTGAATTCTGAGCCTGACTGAGCCCAAGCGGAGGCCTGGGGAGAGGGGGCCAGTGTGGGCAAGGCTGGACTGAACCCAAGGTTCGGACTCCATGCCCAGCACACTCTCTATCAATGGACCTAAAATAGAAGGCTGGCTTTGTGGTGGTTTGTGCTCCATAAGTGCCAGAGAATTATTCATTAGTGCGTCTTCCCTGAACCACAGGCAGCACGGAGCCAGGGGCCATGGAAGACCCCAGGCCACCCCTGAGCGGCCCGGGACATGGCTCATCAGTGGTGTATGCCCGGCCCCGGGAGGTACGTAGAGGTCCTAGGAAGTCTGAAGTGGGGAGGGAGCCCAAAAGGTGAAATCAGAGCCAGCCTTGAATCTGTCTTCACCATGTTCTCCTCTGGACCAGGCAGGCAGGAGAGCCTGAGGCACCTTTCCCCATATTCTCATATTGCAGCTTTTTTAAGCATTGTTCTAGAAGTGCAATCTTCCATTATGCCAACATTGGGGGTGGGGGTCATGGAGTTTTGAACTCAGAGCCTCACGCTCATTTTCCACTTGAGCCATGCCCCCAACACAGCACTTTTTGCTTCCATTTGTTTTTGACTTAGGGCCTCACTAACTTTTTGCCTTAGCTGACCTCAAACGGCAGTCTATCTCCACTTCCCAAGTAGTTGGGATTACAGACATCCATTACTGCACTCAGCTTCACCAGTATTTTTTGTTGTCACATTAGAATTGCACCATCGGGCTGTATCAGAAGCCCATTTGCCTTCCTCTCTTTATTGGGCACAGCCATGGGTCATAACGGTTCCCTGATCAGCACATGAATGCACCGCCATCCTTGTTCAACGTGCAGATCTGCTCATAGCGACATCCACAGTGTAGTTCCTCAATGGGGAGACGGTCAGAAGGAATGTAAGGCCCAGCAGCCTTTGGTCCACATTCCACAGGCCACTGTTGAGACATACTCCGGGAGAGCCACGACTGGCACGAGCAGACATCCTTCAGAGCCCTTGCCCCGTCCTCTGTGGCAGATCTGCATGTCTGCGACACTTGGCAATCCCTGGGGGCTGACACAGCCCCGGAAGGCCGGCACCTCCGCCAGAGCCCATTCATCCCGGACCGTCTCCAGGGTGAAGCAAGAACTAGAGGCCAGGGCTCTTGGCCAGCACAGATTCCCTCCCAGAGCAGTGGCCACCTCAGTTTAGAAGAGAACCCTTCAGACTGCAGCAGGCCAGGGCACCCAGAACGAAGAAAAGACCACTGCGCCTTCGTGGGCTTCCATATAATGGAGGAGGGAGGTGGGGCTTTAGCAGCTGCAGGTAAGAGAAATGCCCTCCTGGCCTCTGCCCAGCCCCCTACACGTGCATTTTATTGCCAGTCTGGAGCCTCAGCCAGATCCATCCCCCAAGTTCATGCTGAGGCTCAAAGCCAGGGCCTGCTACACACCAGTGCCCGCACTGCGATGTCCACATAGCACCTGCTGCCCCCTGTGTGAGATGTGTCCTTAGCAAGCCAGGTGCCGATAACCCAGGTCTTGACCGAGAGCAAGACAGAAGGCCTGTCTTCGGAGAAGGAGCGTGTGGCTGCTGGAGTCACAGCCCCGCCACCGGTCCACTCGAGCTTAACCCCCATCCTATTGTAACACTCACCGCCTGAGTTGGCACCTCTGATAAATAGGCAGCCGGGGAAAAGCCTCCCAACACTTTGATTTGTGGAGGGGTAATTCATTTTCCAGGCAAATAAACAGCTTGTAAACTCGGGGGTTTACCACTTCAAGTGATTAAGAAGTGAGCAGCTATAAAACTCCTCGTGTGAGGCTGTGGCTAATTGTCCCTGTGGAATTCTGCTGGCCGGCGTCAGGATCTGGCGGCTGCTACCCACAGTCCCTTGCGTGGGCTCCCCGCCACACACCGCCTCTCACAGAAGCTTCTTTCTAAGGACACCGGGGAAGCTGTTCAGCCCTCTTGCCACAGATAGTGAATGGCATCGGGCCCCAGAGACAGGCTGTGCACCTGCCTTGCAAGGCTACATGTCAGAACATTTGTACAAATAGCCCCTCCTTGACCACCAAGTGCAGAGTTTGGCTTAAGTCCCCAGAAAGGGGAGGGGAGAGCACAGCAGACCTCACTAGATGAAGGGAAGAAGACCAGGGAGGGCAAAGTGTTCCCGGAGCACCCCATGTGGGCAGATGAGCTGTGGGGGTTAAACCCCAGACTTCCTTGAGCTGGGCCCAGGTGGCTCACGCCTGTAATCTCGGCTACTCAGGAGGCTGAGATCTGAAGGTGGGTATTTAAAGCTAGCCTGAACAGAAAAATCCATGAGATGCTTCTCGCTGCTTAAGCAGCAAAAAAAGAGTCATGATTCAAGTGGTAGAGCACCATCCTTAGGCAGAAGAACCCAGGGCAGAAAAAAGACCCTGAAATTCAATTCAAGCCCTAGTGTCTACACACACACACACACACACACACACACACACGCATGGGCTCGCTTCCCTGGGGCCATCCCCTGATTCCATTCTCCACACCAAGTCCTTGGGCCCTGTTTTTGCTTGGACACTGTTCAAGGCTGTGCAGGCCACATGATCTCTACAGCAACTATCTTCTGAGTGTGAGAGCTGGGGCAGGGAAAACCCAGTTCTGTGGCTGGATTCCTGTAAAGGCAGTGGCTGCGGTTTGCCAAGCACTGTCCACACCTGCCACCTTTCTGAGTTCTGAACGAGGTGAAGGCCAAGTGCAAAGGAGGCGGCAGCCGGGAGCCGTCTCCACTTGGTGCAGCTTCTGCATTAGGGGCCTCGTGGGCATGTGCTGGTGAGGGTTTCTGGGTTTTGAGACGATGAAGTCCGAACCACACCCCTTAGGAAAAGCAGTGTGCTAAAAGACAGACCCTGCAGAACAGCGCATGTCCTGGGGGAGGACTCAGGCTGGACAACAGAGGCTGAGGGCTGTCATGGAGAGAGCATGCTTCCAGAGTGTTCTCCGGCCACACGCTGCGCCTGTGCTGGCCATGCTGAGAAGCCTGCTGACCCCCCCCCCCCACACACACACATACACACACAGGGGTCAGGAGAGTGGGCAGCAGGACACAGTCATAAACTGGAAAACTCTCCCCCCACTCTCCCAGCCACAAAGCAGAGCAGAGAGGGCTGGGGCTCCCGTGTGACCCAGGGTGTCTTCCAGTGTGGGTCTGGTGCCTTGCTTTGGCAAAGTGGGGTCCTGGAAGCCCTTTCAAGGGCACAGCCAGGGGTGCTGAGCCAGGCCCCGCCCCTTCCCAGCCCTACCCCCTCCCAGCCCCACCCTGGCCTGAGGCTGGCTGCTGCCTTCTCTTGAAGTAGACCAAAGAAGCCGTGTGTGTGTGTGTGTGTGTGTGTGTGTGTGTGTGTGTGGACGGCTCATCTCTGGAGCCACAGAGACACGCAGAAAGCTGCCTCGGCCTTGAAGCCCCTGTCCTACCTGAGGTGGGCACTCACCCCCCAGTGCCTCCCCCCGTGTGGGGGTGCGCTGCCCTGCCGGCCTGCCGTGCCCACGCCCGCCCTCGTGTCTTGCAGGCTTCGCCGTGGCCCAGTGCATAAACCAGCGCAGCGCACCATCCCTGTCATCGCCATCCCCGCCGACGGCCAGCGGGAGCCCCAGCGGCAGCCACTGCGACTCGGGGGGCTCGTCCTCCGCACCCTCGGCAGCCCAGAGCCCAGCAGGTACGGGCCGCGGACTCGATGGGGAGGTTTGGAGACCCCGTGACCCCTTGCCTCCACTGCGACCTCTGACTGCCCCCCCCCCCACACACACACATGCTCCTCTCACGCTGGGCGGATGCTGCCACCAGGGGTGGCAATATGTGGTTCCTGTCCGTCCCCTGGCTGCAGCACTGAAGGGGCTTGGGTGACAGGTGACGGCCCCAACACTCCGATTACCACCTCCAGAATCTCTGGTGTCACCAGGACCATCTCCAGGGGGCACTCTTTGAATCCCAGAAAAAGAATCAATTTCCTCTTTCAGTGTTTGGTGGGGTCCAGTTGCCCCCCCCGCCCCCTCCCCCGCACCCCTGCCCCGCTCCCGCCTGTTTGGATTTTGTCAGGATGAGGTGGGGTCAGATCTCACTGTCCCTGAACTTAGACCAAGTCAAAGTAAGCACAGAGTAAGCACAGCCGCCATGCAGCCAGCCGAATGGGGCTCGAGCCAGGCCAGGCCTCCCGACCTCCAGCCAGTGGGGTGCTTCACACATCAGCAGCACCCCCCCAATAAGATCCAGAGGGCCCCAGGGACCCCAGTCCACATCCTGAGTTAGAGACCCTTCGTGATCTCTCTTCCTACAAGCTCTGACCCAGAACCCTTGCCCGTCATACATCAGGGACCCTGACTTGACTCCTGCTCGGTTTTGGAGGTCGTAACGGGAGTCACGGCAGGCACGGGCCATGCTGCCATCCCTGAGCACCGGGAGCCAGGGGTCCCCGGGCACTGCATGATCCAGTTCTTACCTTCCCAGCCGAGGGCTAGCCAGCTGGCACCTGCACCTGCACCTCCCCTGCAAACACCTGCACCAGCTCCCATAGATGCCAGGGGCAGAAAAGGCCCCTCAGCCACCTCACTGTGACCCCCTGCCACTCGGGGGCTGCTCTTCTCCCTGCCAGCCCGGAGCACTGACTGACCACGCTCTGAGGGGCTTCTAAACCCAGTGAAATGTGGCCTCAGCTCGAGCAGTTCTTCGCTAGGAGGTGCAGACAGAGCCCTCAGGTGCCGGGACCTCCCCTTGGCTCTGCTTGATTCTGGCCTCATGCTTGACCCAGATCAAGAGTGCAGGTTGTGTTCATGTGCTGATATGCACACACCTTCTATTGCGTGTGGACACTTCAGAATCTGCGTGCACCCAAACACACCGTCCCAGTTGCTGCTGAGGTGAAAGTCTTCCAGGTGTTTTGTTTTTGTTTTTGTTTTTTTTGGGGGGTCCAGTCGTGGGGCCTGAACTCTGGGCCTGAGCGCTGTCCCTCAGCTCTTCAGCTCAAGGCTAGCGCTCTACCACTTGAGCCACAGCACCACTTCCAGCTTTTTTCTTTTTG